CCACAGTTAAACAAAAATGGCATACCACTGACATTATATAAGGTTTGCAAGGACACAGGTTTCTGTTGGCATAAAAACTATGTAGTTCATAGCATGGTTCACGTAGCCTACAAGGAGAAATACTTTTATTGACATATTTGTCCTTCCAAATCTGAAGTGGATGAATGATATGTAGGATCGCCAACCTCCATGTGGAGGCTGGAGATCTCCCACTTTTACATCTGATCTCCAGGTGACAGAGACCAGTTCAGCTGGAGAAAATGGCCACTTTGGAAGGCTGACTCTATGCCATTATATCCCACTGAAGCCCCTCCCCTCCCCAAACCCCGCCCTCCTCAGGCTCCATCCCCAGATCTCGAGGTATTTCCCAACCTTGATCTGGCAACCCTATATAGAAAGTATGTTGTAAGTTAGTGTTTGATTGATTTGCATGTTTCAGTGGCACCGTCAAGACCAATATTTATTCCAGTGTGAGTTTTTGTGAGACAGAGCTCACTTCTATATATACAATGGGAAGAAAGAAACTCATTGATTGCATTTTCACAGAAAATTACAAAAGGGGGGATTGAAAAGGGAGCAGCTGGGGGCTTAGTATAAGAAATGAGGTGAGAGTCTCTTTATGAATGTATACTTGAATGGATGGGATAGTTTAATGGAAGATGGGAGAGGTCAGAGGTTCTGGCCCCTCTCACATGTTGTAAAGATAAACAGAAGTGCAATCAAGCAGGGCAAATAACAAACTAATTAAGGAAGAGGCGGTTTGAAACTCTGAGAAAATTGTCCACCAGCAGTAAAAGGTTATAGTAGAATAAGACATGTTAAAGAACAGTCTACTCGAGTACTCAAAAGAGGGTTTATCACAAACCAGAAATGGAGGAAGGAACATGTGAGTTTATGGCATAATGCTCCCTCTAAGCTGTGGAGTTTTGTGAGCAAAATTATACTTTGTGAGCAACTGGCATTAAAGTTGAGAGTGAGGGATTTGGCTGCTGCAGAAATTAGTTTGCTCTGGAGCCATCTTTCCTGAGCTAACACAAAAATGTGAGAGCCAGAGGCTAAAAAACTGTGAGCTAGCTCACACTAACTTGGCTTAGAGGGAACACTGCTAGGAATAAGGCCTGTTGTGAAAATAAATACAACAAGCTCTAGAAAGAGGCTCTGGGAGGATGCCCTGGCCTTGGACACTCAGTTTCAATTTGCTATGGTGACCTCAGCAGGGTACAATGACACGGAGTCCACTGTTTTCTCCAGGGGAACTGATCTCTGCCATCTGAAGAGCAGTTGTAATTCTGAGTGACCTCCAGCCCTCACCTGGAGGTTGGCAACAATGGTTTGGAGGGTGGAGTCTACAGCATTGTACCTGTCAAAGGTCCCACCCCTCCTCAAGCCCCACCCTTTCCAGGCTTCACCTCTCAAATATCCAGGAATGTGCAAACCTGGAGGAGGCAACCTTATCTCCTTTCCAGCATACCATCTATGTACCATTATCTCCTCCTCTGACTTCAGGTTTCCCTCTCCTCCCCCCTCCTTGCAGCCTTTACCTAGGAAAAATACAGTCTTTCTCCACACTGGGGACCAAAGCAGCTCACATCATTCTCCTCTCCCCCTTTCGATCTGCACAATGACCCTGTGAGGTAGGTTAGGCTGAAAGTCTGTGAGTGGTCTGAAATCACCCAATCAGCTTCCACTGGAAGAACCTGGATCTGGCAGATCCTGCCCTGAAGTGCTAATTGCTACACCACACTGGCTGTGGTATTGCCTGGTATCACAACTGAATTCCAGACAACAGATCTCTCTCTCCTCCTGGAGAAAATAACTACTTTGGAGAGTGGACTCTATAGCATTCTATTCAGCTGAGGCCTCTCCCCTCCCCAAATGCTGGCTTCCGTTGACTCCACCACAAAAGCGCTAGGAATTTCTCAACCTGGAGCTGGCAACCCTAGTGGGCTGGCCCCAATGAGTTCCCCACAAAAGCCAAAGTAGGCCTGGAAAGGGCCTCCTGCCCCTGCCTTTTTACTGACATAACCAAGCTTGGTTGCCTAGCAATAGCCAATGAGGGGAAAGTGAGCTGCATAGCAGGAGGAGAAGATAATGGTTTGACAGCTGGCAGCCCACCTCAGTCGCCAGCCAGCCATGGAGGAGCCAAGCAGTAGAAGTGTCTTTGTCAGGCGAGACAACCATTTTGGCAGTTTATTCTGTCAGGGAAGAGGGGCCAGGCTGGCAGTGGGCAGGAGAGAGGAGCAGACCCAGCACCCAGCCAATGGCATGTGAGTACTCTTGAGTGGTGGTTGATGGGCCGGTGGAAATAAAAATATCCATTGTAATTTTTTTTTAAGTTAGTGCTTATCCAAAAGTCAGGCATAAACTAAAGCCTCTATATGCCTCACCTTATGATGAGGGTTTGGTGACCTTGTATAACTTTCCTCTTACCCCTCTACCCACACTGGGGGGGGGGGAATGCAGCCCATCCTCCCCCTGTTCTGCTAAACTCTCATGTTATCTTCCTTCTGATTCTATGGAAAAACAATGGCAATCCCATGGAAATACCTACTTCATATTTCCCCTCTTTCATAAAGCAGGCCATTAAGGGTGCTATGGACTTTTCCCTTTGAACTCTTCTCCATCAATTAACTTCTCATCCCTCCCACTGGCCATGCCACTGCTGTCCCTTTCCTTGGCATCCTATAACTTGGCTCTCCCAAAATCACTGCATGCTACTTTCATCACAATTTGTTGGTCTTAACATGATGCATTGCCTACACTGTGTTTCCTCATGGCCCAAACTTGTTTGCCTAAGAACTGTTAAACAAACTAAAATGGGATTAAAAACAAAAAACAAAACACATCCTCAATATCCACAAAACTTCACCTGAGTTTGGATGAGCTGAGTTGTCAAATTAAAAGGATAGCAACTCACAAATTAGTGCGTTTTCACTTTTTTAAAAAAATAGTATATTCCCTAAAGTGTGGTATGTCATTGTGCACAAGCAGACTAATGGATTATGGGAACAATAAAAAGAATACATGAACCAAAAAAAGGTTCACTTTCCCCCCCCCCCCCCAACAATGCCCTTCATACTGGACTGGAATGACTGCATCAAATGGGGGGTTTTGGTTTGTTTTTTTACATAGCAACTTGTATTGGAAATGAAAACTCAGCACTTGATCTTTCAGTAGCTCTGGGGTAATGTATTCTGCAAATGGAACTGCATTACATAAAACTTCTCTTTTGTTAGGGTTGGTAGAAACCAGCCCACCCACAATACAGACTATAATGGTCTTTTTACTCCTAACTGAGCATTTTCTCACTTTCTTTTCATCTGCTATTTCACATGAACTCAGCAGAAACACAGGATATATAACAGAATGGGGGAGCCCCTTAGGAATCCTCCATATTATATTTATAGTTAAAATAGCCACTCCTTTGTGTGATTACTACAGCCAATTACATTACATGATGCAGCTCAACTATAGATATAGTCCTCTAAAATGAAGATTCTTTTTTGTTCCTTTTTATGAAAGAGGTCTTGTACACAGTGTTTCATGAAACAACAACCAATGGCTCAAATTCACCCTAGTGAATCAACATTTCAGTCAGTCAAAAGCAATATGGAACAAAGATGGATAATTTACCTGTGGGCTAAAGGAAACAAAGTGGCAAGGAGTGGAACCTTTTCTATAATTTAAAATCATATGAAAAATAATTCTGAGAAGTACAACATTCACCAAAAAAGGCTGGTTAATAGATCTGCCTTGGGACTTTTTTCAGAGGAAACAGTGAGATATAGATCTTTTAAATAAAGTAACACCCAACATTCACTCAATACAATCCACTTGGTGACACCATCATCTGTGTTATAGTGTGGTCTGAAACCACTTTCTGGCCCACTGAACTTATATGCAAAGTCAGATGGGAAAGTCATGAACTCTTGACATCATCTACCTATTGCTACTTTAGGAAACCTGCCTCATACTTTGAATACTACTGACCCAGACTCAGAATTGGCATTAAATGGTCCATCCTGAAACTGCTGAAAAATAAACCAAAGTACACAAAAGACAAACCCAATACATATAAAAGAATTGACTAATTAAGGACTAAGCCTACCATTAAATGCAAAAGAATGAAAAAATACATCTGTGTCCTGGATCTGTTGCCCTATATCAAGGATCAACAAATCTCCAAAGTATAATTATTTTAAGTAAATTTATATAGACCCATAAGACCCAAAAACACAACCTTTCAGCAATGAAATACTGAACAACAATACCATCTTCTGCCCTCATCTACCATTCACTATATTTTAAAATCAAAATCAAAATGGTGTTCAGGTTACAAAACAAATGTATTTGGGCTATGACATTCAATTCTAAATTGAACTGTAAACTAAAAATATTTGTTGCTTTAAAGGAATTTACAATAGAAATAGTGCTCATCAAAGCACGGTGAAGAGAAGGCAGCCTTAGTTGGATATGAAAAAGACTAAACACATTAAGACAACATACAGAACAAACAGAAAAAGAAGCACATTTGATATTATTAAGGCTACTCTAAATATACCAGGTGGTATTATAGATAGTGGTGCTAATCCCAATAATTATGTGAGAACAATAATGGAACAGTGCAATGCTTCAGCAACATTAAAAAGACTTCCAACTTGCCTTCAAGTAATTGGAACTTAATATTAATGGCACCTTGCCTTTGTTTCCTTTTTTAAAAGTAATTAGCAGGAAATATTTGCCCCAGCTGATCAGCTGAAACAATATATAATGAACTAGAATGACAAAAGATTAACTGAAGAACTGAAATCAAAAGCATTTACTGAAAGTTCAAAGTAAGATTTTATTGCCCTTATATTTTAAAATCCCTATTACAACTTGCCTTGATGCACCTCTTATTTTCACTTATGCACCTGCCATTTTCATTCAACATTCATTTTTTATTTATGAAGAAAAATAACACTAAAATTCAAATTAGTTAATATGAAGAATTCTCTTACCTAAAGACTGGTAGAGCTCAGTCATTTTAGGATGATCCCAGCAGGTGGTTTGCGTCTCATGACTATAAGACCAAAACAAACAAAAAAATCCCTTAAATATTACATTTATACTAGTTACAGTACCTTTGGAATCAATTGGCTTTCTTCCTAAATAAATAGCAATGTTAAATAATCGATACAATTATGTCACAAAAGTAGCATGTGATCAAACAGCAGAGTTCAATTTAACTGATATGATTAAAACACTTAGAGAATGTGTTCTGTTCCCAGCTAAACCATCACACTCACTCCAGTAGAAAAACATTTACCTACAATGTGTAATATCCTAATACAAATTTTGAACTACACTCCTGTAGAAACTGTCATCACAGACAGCCTTAACATTCGGCAAGGTGCCTTAACTAGCAGATTCTGGAAGCTGGTAAATTATGCTGGGAAGACAGTACTTATGAGGGCTCTATTTATGTTTTTTATTTCATTTCCTTATTTATATGAAGCCTTTCTGGTGGCTAACAATTAAAACAGGACAAAAACAGCTATTGCCATATCATAGAAACATAGCCAAAATGTTACAAGAAAATAACAGTGAACCCTTAAAATCGAATCTGAAGGTTATCTGGAATAAATCTGAAAAATATTCTTGAATTGTCTTGAATACTTGTAGATATAAACCAATCTTGCAAATAGGCGGCCTTTCTCCAGGAATGGCTACAGTCGTTGAAACAGCCAAGCTAGTAAAAGGTAGTTCTAGCAGCCTAAGACACCTGCTTATCAAAAGACACTTGCATCAGAGAGCACCCACAGAAAGTACACCTGATTTCTCAGGGTAACAGCATCCAGAACAATGTGAAAACCTGTGCCATATCTACTTGCAACCTGCAACACTTCTAACTTGCTAGACTAAGTTTCAATTTTTTCATCCTTGTTCGGGCCTTGTTCACCTTCCCTGTCATAAACACATGACTATTGATCATGAAAGAAATGGAATCAGAAGTTCCTGAAACGGAGTCAGGATCCAAAACTGGTAAGTTTCCCAAAGATTAGCTTATCAAAAAAATGTGTTCCTGAAGATAAAAATACAGAATTCATGGAAACCAAGAATGAGAATCCAATTAATTCCAAATAGACTCCATTGCACTTTTTAATTAGTTGTCAGTATGTCAAAATGTCTGTAGGTTAACCTATAAAATTATCATAACGTTCCCAGATAACTATAGATACTCAATAAATGTTATTATTATTTAACTGGGGAAAGCCCATTAATAGGAGATTGATTTGACCAAAGTGGCAACAGGACCTCAGTGAGTGAAACAACCAGAGACTGACTTTACCAGTCAGTTTCATAAATAAATACCAGTTTGATAAAACAGTTGAAAGAATAAGTTAAGGTTTCAAGCAAATATTCAAACATCATATAATGTCTTTTTATTTATTTATTTAAAATATTTTTATCCTGCTCCCTCTGGAGTCTGTTTGAGGAAGCTGGAACAATAAAATGAAACACAATTTTAGATAAATAAATAAATAGAAACATAGTAAACTAAAACAGCAGCAGTATTTTAAAACAGCAACCCATAAAATCCAAACAAATGCAGTGGGCAGAAGGCCATTAGGATTTCATAGAATGAAATAATGCTTCCTAAATCCTTTACAGGTTAGCTGCAGAAATCTATAACTCATCTTAACATCACAACCCTAACTACATTCATTTGACATTTAGTTCCCAAGTATGTGCCTTTAGATGCAGCTTTAATAGCTTCAGTAACTCAGCATATGCCCATATATATGTCTGCTTGTCTATCTAAACACATATTATTATTATTATTATTATTATTATTATTATTATTATTATTATTATTATTATATACCCCACCCTATCCCATGAGTGGGTTCATGGCGGCTTACAACATAAAATCCACAACACAATAAAACCAATAAAACAGTAGATGGCACAGTATACATAATGGAAAAACCCATGCCTTTATATATACATGGTTCTTTTTCTGTTCACAACAGGATTGTGAGGTGGGCTGTTCTGAGAGACTACAATGATGTCAAAAGCTACTTGGGCTTGAAGCAGCAACTTTCAATTAGAAACTTTATTGCTCCATGTGGTGAGCCATGGAGGCTCCAAATTTTAACATTCAGAGTGGTTTTATGGAGCAATGAGAAGATCTCCACCCCTGAGTACAGCCCATGGACTCTCCATAAAGTTCTTTAAAAGCTCCAGGGAAGGTGGGAAATTCTTGTCCAATCAACAGTCTTAATTATTTGGTCCTAGAAGGCCAGTCTTGCTTTCTTTTCTGCTTTGCTGATTTCTGATCTGCAGTTTCTGTCTAACATTTTGCACAGTCTCATCCACCGTTTCACTGACATTTACCTTTTGATTTCCTTTCGAGTAGAGTTTTTTCTTGCTTATTTAATGTAGTGTGACTACTTGCTCCCACAGTATCAGTCCTCTCCTTGATTTAATCGCTGGCTCTCCATCCCAGACTATACCTGCTTGCTGTCCACAAGTCTACCCTTGACAGATAGGCTTAAGATTCACTGAGATTCATGGCTGAATGGGGGCTTAAATCAAGACCTCCTCTGTCCAGGTCTAACACAATACCACCATACTGGTTCTCAAAATGCTATAGTTAGAAAATCTGGGAAAACTTAATCCTTTTTGGCTGTAATATATTTTCTGAACCTATTACAAATTCTCACACTAGTGATCAATTCTTTTTGCAAAAGCTCTACCTCCTCTCACCCCTAGGGATGGGCATGAATCGCGAACCACAGTGGTGAATGCAAAGCAGAGGGTGAAATGGCTGGGAGCCATTTGAACCAAAAAGGTGAGTGTCAGGGAGCTCCCTGACTAGCTATTTTTTATGAAGAGCAGAAAGTAGGGGCACGAACTGCAAACCACGAGCTATTCACTATTCATGAGCTATTCTTTTTGTTTGTTGTTGTGTCGCACAGTTGAGTCCGACTCTTTGCGACCCCATGGACCACATCATGCCAGGTCCTCCTGTCCTCTGTCATCCTCTGGAGTTTGCTCAACTTCATGTTTGTTGCATTGATAACACTGTCTAACTATCTCATACTTTGTCATCCCCTTCTTTTATCTTCAATCTTTCCTAGCATCAGGGTCTTCTCCAGTGAGTGCTCCCTTCTCATTTGGTGGTAAAAGTATCTGAGCTTCAGCTTCAGTATCTGGCCTTCCAGGGAACAGTCAGGGTTGATTTCTTTTAGGCTTGACTGATTTCATCTCCTTACAGTCCAAGGGTCTCTCAAGAGTCCAGCACCATAATTCAAAACCAATTGCATTAATCCAATCTAACTGGCCCTTCCTGGCAGCATCCTCCTCACCCACGACCTATATGTAATGGTTGCTGAATTCTGTTTCAATGTATCTGAAGAACTGTGCATGCACACAAAAACTTATAACCCAGAATAAAACTTTGTTGATCTTAAAGATACCACTGGACTCAAACTTTGTTCAGATCCCTTGTAGTAATGCTTTGGTTTCCTAACAGTCAAGGTGTTCATTAACACTTCATTTCATTGGCATCAGCCACTGGGTAGGACTTTGTCTTGCTTCTAGCCTTCTGCATCATTGCAATGACTTGGGCTCATATCAGAAAGAGATGAGATTGCAAGAGGACCCCTGCACATTCCTCTGCATAAAAGATAGCAAAAATTGAATACAGCAGAGAGAGTTAGAACTTCTCTTGTCTGTGCATTCATTAATTTGCAGAGAGTTCCTTCCTTCCCTCCCTCCTTCCTAAACAAAAACAGTACTGTATCCACAGGCTGAGGTGACTTCCACTTTGCTCTATGCTTTAAATGCTAGACTTCATTAATCTTTTCACAACTATGCTAAATACCTTGCAATGTAAGTTGTATAATTTGCAAAGAATTTGATGACTGAAAATTTCAGAGATGATCCATTCCAATCATTCTGTGTATCAGGGCCAAACAACACAATATTTTTAACAAGCTGGGATCAGCTTCCCCAGACCCTACTTGTAGGGTTGCCAGCCTCCAGGTGGTGACTGGAGATCTCCTGGTATTACCACTGATCTCCAGGCAACAGAGATCAGTTCACCAGAGAAAAAGGTTGCTTTGGAAGGTGGACTCTATGGCATTATACCCCATTAAAGTCCCACCCCTCCTCAAACCCCACCCTCATCAGGCTCCACCCCCCCAAATTTCCAGGTATTTCCCAACCTGGAGCTGGAACCCTACTGAATTGGCTTTCCTGGCAGTCACACGGCAGCTGCAGGGAACAACATTTACAAGCCTATGGGGGCTCTATTCAGCTCAGGACTGAGACATAAGAGGAGAAGGGCTTCTGCTTCTCCCTTGTGCCATTTTCCCGCTGCTGAAATGGCCCCAGTGGATATTTGCCCTATTTTGGAGTTGCCTGGAATACTAGGGAACCTGGAGCTGAATTAGTGTAGTTTGGCCCACAGAAATATGTTGGGAAGAACAAGAAGCTTAACCACTACCATGTCATGACTACTTAAGTACACACTGGTAGCTAACAGCATATTGTGGAAGTGTCATGTATTCATGGCTGTCAGGGCCAATTTGCATTCAAAGAGAAACAACTTGCACTCCATACCCAGTCCTCAAGTGCTGGATCATGTCCTAACAGAAGAGACAAGTAAAATCCCAGTGAGATGCCATCATTTGGCAATCAGAAAATTTTTCAGATCTATGCCCACAGATAAATACACTGTGGGAACTAATAGCACATTAATCTGATTCCCTAACAAGATGTACAGTTAAGGTCTATACCATACTCTATCCAGTCCCAAGAAGCCCCCCCACACACACACACCAGTTCTGACTCTGCCTAAGAAAGGAACACCTCTTTCTGTCAAAAAGGTGTCATGAGGCAACTATGACACAGTTCTTTAATAAAAAGTACATACCAATTGTAAAAACTATTAATAAATCATATCCAATACGAGAATACAAAATAGACTGAAGAACCAGAAGTACTTTCCTTTACTCCTGTGGGAAATGTAAGGATTCGTGAACATCATTTCCTGAGAATTCTTAGAAGACT